TATGGAGATAAAATACTATCAAAAATGTTACAAATGCGTGTTTAACATTTTGTCTGTAACAAGCGATTTGTGTGTGTGTGTCATGAGGATCACAAATGCGTGCTGCGCAATCTGCATGTACAAAGCCATTTGTGTGTGAGTGTCATGCTGTTCACAAATGCATGATGTACAAACTGCACATTTTACCAATGCTTAAAAGCGATTTTTTTGTGTGCAGTTCTTTAGAAAGTACGTACACATTGTTACCTACGCATGCGTGGATCGTCTAACACACACGAATCACCTTCCGCGCACACACGGATTTTTGAGAGTGTTTTTCCGCACTCTCAAAAGTCCACGATCCACGAATGCACGGTGCGTTTAAGGACACGTAGAAACCTCGGACATCAGATTCTCGGCCATAAATTAATACAATTTCATGGAACAAATATTAGAATTTTGGTTGTAAATGTAGGTCAGTGCTTCTAATAGTGTTTAGGCCAGCAGAGAAGGCCTTGCTGGCCCTGACGGCCCGCCACTGATATTAAATATATGCTCCACGGTTTGTCGTGCTATGCTAGATAAGTGGATGGTTCAATATGTAGATTCAAAGGAGAGACAACCTGTGACTGTTTTCATGCTAAACTTACTAGCGGTGTGTATCACTAAAACATGTCCCACTGAAAAACAACAACAAACTCCGTCGGGAGGAATATGTGCATCACTAAAATATGCCCTACTGGAAAAACTATAAACTCCGCAGGGCGGAACATTAACTTTAGTTTCATAACTTCTAAATTCTAAATATATAAACATTTAGAACATGCACCACAAACTGCAGGCATCTGGAGTGTTCTCTGTTAAAACGTGTTATGTATTAGATATTTTTGTTTATTTTATGTAATGTCCATTTGGAATAGCATTGTGTAAATGCTTTTGTTTGGGAAACAGGTTTGGAAACTCTGATGTCCGAGTTTTCCACGTGTCCTTAAACGCACTGTGCATTCATGGATCGTGGACTTTTGAGAGTGCGGAAAAACACTCTCAAAAATCCGTGTACGCGCAGAAGGTGATTTGTGTGTATTAGACGATCCACGCATGCGTAGGTAACAATGTGTACGTACTTTCTAAAGAACTGCAAACAAAAAATCGATTTTAAGCATTTGTAAAATGTGATTTATGTGCAGTTTGTACAGCATGCATTTGTGAACAGCATGACACACACACACATAAATGGCTTTATACGTGCAGATTGCGCAGCACACATTTGTGATCCTCATGACACACACACACAAATCGCTTGTTACAGACAAAACGTTAAACACGCATTTGTAACATTTTTGATAGTATTTTATCTCCATAACATACACTGATTGGCATTTGAGATGTGCACGCGGTCGGTATACACGGGCACGCCGTGCGGGAACATAGTTTCCACGCACAGCTGCAGCATCGTTTTTGCAGCGTTATTGCAGCACGTTTTTGTTTTTATTGTGTTTCTTTTACCTGCGTCAGTTGGTTTATTGACTGTCTTGCATTTAGTTTCTCTGAAGAAGGGTCTAATAAAAACCCTTACAAATATGGGAATGTATTTACTGGGGCACAGCTGATTTACACTGGGGCAGTGCCCCAGTACAAGTGGGCCGATGGCAAAGACATATCCCTCACCCCCCAGGCCCCTGCCCTCCAACCTAGGGAGGCATGCATTGCTATTTTAAACCCACAGCTTCACATTGAACCTAACGTTACCTTTCTTTACCCTCTGCCCCGCAGTACAGTTCTGTTTCATATTTTTCTAAATGATTCTAAAACATTTTAGCTTTACAGACACACAGTACATACAGTATGTCAGAAAGTGAGTTTCTGTGATTAACTGTGTTTTATTATGTTTGCAGAGAAGCAAGAGAAGGAAGTGGATATTTATGCCAATCTTTCTGATGAGAAGGCCTTTGTATTTTCTGTGGCTTTGGCAGAGATCAACCGCAAGATCCTGGGTCAAAGACTCATTTTATAAATTAAAGCCTGACTAACTGAGAAGGATATATTTTAGGAAAACTATCAAATACCAAGACAATGACCAAAGAAGACAGAACTAACTGGATCTGAATTCTGACCTGGATGTGTTTCACTTGGATGATGGGATGAAGCTTCAGACTGAAGGAGTGAATGTTGCCATTCTAAGAAGTCACACCTCGAGTTATACAGTCACTATAGACATACAAACGTATGTTTTTGGAATAAAGAATGAGAATAGTTTGCGTGCTGTGCACTGATAACATTTATCACCTGTTCTGTAAATGCAAACTCCTCAGTGTATCAATCCACATCCATCTACATATCGTACTATGTTCCAGAGGCCTGTAAGTTTACATACATTGAATTTAGGGGAGTGCGGGACTAAGGAAATACTGTATTCTTCTTATTTGAAATAAATTATCAAGTGAACATCTTCAGCTGGGTGTCTTCTTATGAACTGAAGATGACTGCTCATTTATTTAACATAATTCAAAGTAAGACATAACAGTTCAATATTATAGCAGTTAATAATAATAATATTTTGATCAGATTTATAGCCAATGAGTTCTTAATGCCAAAAAGTGATAAATCCCATCTTTTGCTTCGTTTGTGGCTGATTTGCTGTATTCTGTACAAGCTTGACTAATCTCAAACAAATGTATTAAGATTATGTGAAGGGACAGGCTGGAGGAGCTTTATAGTTTACAGATTGTTAAATAGCCAGTGTATATTCCTGAAGAATGGTACTGGTGACTAGTAGAGTTGCCCAGACAGAGAAAGAAGTGGAACACAACTGCTCAGTACCAGCAATCAGGCTGGCAAACAAAAATTCTTATTAGAAATAGCAGCCAGATTGGATTACTCAAAATCCATGTCATTAACAGGATCACCCCCCACCCCATGCTCCAGCAAGCACTTGTCCTTCCCAAAAGATGACTGACTAAAGTTCTCCACAGCCTGACTTAGTGACATTGTTCAAGAGCCAATAAACAAATCCATGCAGAAAAAGAATACACCAAGCTCTCTGTGTGGATCTGTGTCCATTGTCTTTCACAGGAGTCCCAGTTTGTATTCCACCATCATGTGAGCTTACACTCTGTTATTTTTCAGAGCCCACACTTCAGATGTAGTGGCCAAAAGTCCAGAGTAGACATTTTGAAGATATGTTTCATTCTGAGGACCTCAGAATATTTATAATTAAAAACTAACTTTAATTTCCAGGTACCAAGGAGCAGAATGACTTTCATCGATGCCCCAATGCATAGACCAAGCTACCTTTTGTTTCAAAGATAGTTTTAGGGTAGGACCACCCTCTGCAAACAAACCAGATGTGGACATCAAAAAGCCTATCCTCGTCTCCATGACTACAAGGGACAAGCTCCCACCCTCTCCTTGTGACTTTTACTACACTAGAATACACATCTTGGACTTTGCACTCTGACCTTAGACATTAAATTTGAGCTAGTTAAAACAAACCCAAGACAGTTGGTCCTGTTATCTGATCCGTTTCCAGGAGAATGCAGACACTAGGCCCATCTCACCCATATCTAACCTCCCTATTTCCACATTGGAATATGGAGAGACTGCCATAAAACCTGGCTTAATATTCACTCTACATCTTTTTTACAGTGGAAATATTCTTTGATTTTAGAATGTGAAATTGTGAAATGTGAAAAAAGGTTCTGAAAAATATGTACAAGAAAAATGTTTTAGTAAAGTTCATCAATGATTTCTGGACAGTTCAGCTCAGTCACTACAAAGGCTTCTTCCTTAACCTTCCTTTGTAAACAATGGAAATGCTAAATCTAGGGTCCAAAGTGTGTAGGCTGTTTCATGAGATTACAGGAAATATTTCTATTATGTGTGGTTTGAATCTGACTAACCCCATAGTGCCAAACCATTAGTTCAGGAAATTGTTTTGATTTTTCTATTATGTGTGCTAACAAGTGTGCTTTCTTTTAATTTTGAAGTCAACCTTTCTTTCTCCACACAGAATATAACATTCTCTTGTGCTTGTTTAATGATGAAACTGTGTTGGTTAGACTGTATCGGAACTGTGATGCCCCCACATTGATCATTTAAAATGTGTATTTCAAGTTTATGAGCCATAGTAAAAAGTAGGAGTTATGAATCCCTTAAAATGATCTTAAAACCAAAATTCATAATTTCTCTCATGCAAAGCTGCACCCAGTGACTGCATGTACAGTCATGCCAAAAATATTGGCACCCCTGCATTTCTGTCAGAAAATTGTTGCAATCACAAAATCTTTGCTATTCTCATGTTTATTTCTTTCTTTGCATTGTAACAACACAAAAAGCTGAAAAAAAGCCAAATCTGACACATTCCACACAGAACTCCAAGAATGGACTGGACAGAATTACTGACACCTTGTCAAACTCATCAGAAACAATATTTCCAGCCTGTGATGCTCCTTTAATTTGTAATGAAAGTCACCTGTAGCAACCAACAGGTGCTGGCAACATAGAAATTACACTTGCAACCAGTTAAAATGTAGAAAGGTTGACTCAGCCCTTGTGTTGTGTGGATCACACTGAGCATGGAGAAAAGACAGAAGAGCAAAGAATGGTCTGAGGATTTGAGAACCACAATAGTGGAAAGCGTGGACAGTCTCAAGGCTCCAAGTCCATCTCCAGAGATCTGGGGCCTATTTCAAGAAGGCGGTTTAACAAACTCAGAGTTCAAACCTGAACTCTGAGTTGACTTACTCAGAGTTGGAAAACTCGGAGTTTTCGGTTTCAGAACAGCTGAAAAGAGTTGGTTTAATCAACTCTGAGTTGTCTGACTCAGAGTTAGGCGCGTGCCACGCGACTATAAAAAGCCCTGAACAAGGGAGTGAAGAAATTACGAGTCACCATGGCAACAGGACCAAGCCAAAATAGGTCTGCGTTTTTCCCCGACAGAAATGGATGTGCTACTACAAGCATATAGTGACTACGAGCCCATATTCCGTAAGAGAAGCAACACGGTTGCAGCGGCGAAAGAGAGAGAGTTAGCTTGGGGGAAAATAGCTGCCCGAGTCAATGCGTACGTTTACATTTTAATCATACAGTATTCGGTGTAAGTAATTACTAAATAATGTTAGTAATGTGATTATTTGTCACTTGTAAAGTAAGGAATGGTTCTTAATTCTTCAATAATTGAATGAGTAACTTCAGTAATTGCATAAAATACCGATTTTTGTACGAATTAAAAGTGCAGTTTTATGTCTACCCTTTCTTAAAATTCCTATTGTGGTTGATATGGGATTTGTAAAGTAATGATTAATAAATAATCCAGTACGTTTTATGGAGAGTAAGTATTACATTAATCAAAATACTTTTTTAAAAATTGACCCAACACTGATGTAATAATATAAGAATTGAATTTTAATTTTCATGTAGGTGCATTGATGGGAATATGTGTGCCATCAATGCATCCAACCACATTTGGAAATCCTGAAGGGGATTCTAATTATTAGTTTATTTCCAGAGGTCACAGCAAGATGTTATTAACTGATCATCATTTTTCAGATTAGCCTTACTGAAACGAATTCAATACCACTAACCTGCAATCCTGTGAAACTCCTCTTTAATGGCTCTGAGGGGTTTGTGCCCAGGAAACACAACAAAAATTCACAGAAAGCGCTTGAGGGCGAGGCACACTTTCCGAACTATTCTACATACTGTGGCCTTACTAATGGGCTCTGCATCCCCGATGCAAACTGCCATTTGCAACAAATCGTAACGCAACACAAAGCATCTGCTCGGATGGTAAATTCAATTCCCTGCGAATTAATACAGCGTCCTCCTCTACAGGATCCTCTATGAATGGACACGCCATTTTGGTCTCTGCGTGACGGAAACGTGTGCAATCTATGAATGTACTGAAAGATTAAATGAGGTATTAAACACCTTTCACTTTAAAAAGGGGCGGAGACCCGGAGGAAACTCTGAGTTTCCCGAACAAAACCTGCTCCCCGGCAGGTTAGGTTGACAGAGTAAGTTGCCGTAGTAACTGACTCTGAGTTTAGATTACCTCTCTTTGTGAAACGGGTTTAACTTACCCCGCTTCACGGGTTTAAGTTACCTCCGTTTCTGAAACCGAAAACTCCGAGTTGCCCTCATTTCGGGGTTAACAAACTCTGAGTTTCGACAAAACCGCCTTCTTGAAATAGGCCCCAGGTTGTTCCTGTGTCAACTGTGTAACATTGTCAAGACGTTTACAGCCCATGGTGCTGAGGCTGATCTCCCTGGACGTGTACGAATAGATGACAGATTGTAACAAAGGATTGTTGGAATGGTGAATAAAGAACCTCGATGGGGGAAGAAAGACAAACATACATTACACTTCATATTTAGCCTGTCAAGCTTTTCTGGACTGGAAAGGTTTTGCACCTTCCACCACATGGAGTGTCCCTCTGCTCCCATTTCCATTTCCAACAGCCTGGTGAAGAAGCAGCTGCAGGGACTGAATCACAACAATGCCACAGGTCCTGTTACTTCTGGTAGGTACCAACCACTGCAGACCAGGAACACCCAGCAAGACCTGTGGCCATCACTGTTTGGCCCTTGTCAAAGTCACTCAGATCCTTATGCTTGGCCATTTTTCCCCTGCTTCCAACAAATCAGCTTTGAGGACTCAATGCTCACTTGCTGCCTATTACACCCCACACAATGACAGGTGCCACTGTTACCTGTTAGCGGTCATAGTATTATGGCTAATTGTATGGATGCTGATTCAGCATTCATACTATATTATCCTGGTCTTTATTGTATGTATGGATGCTCGCATCCACACTCTTATCCTCTTCTTTATTGTGTGGATGCTGACAAGCATCCACACAATAAAGCAGTAAAAATATCCTCTCGGGGATGGCATAATGGTGGACCTTACAAAGGTAAGTTTAACAGATATGAGGCCAGATAACTATAAGCAAGAATGCCTCATCAGGTGAGTCTAAATCCCTTTACTGGAGGCAGGTAAGAAAACTTTTCAGTTAATCAGGCAGGTATAATTTAGATGTCAGGAAGCAGGCAGAATTCAGGTAAGTATAGTTCATTTCTTTGAATGCAGGCTGTGTTCTGGTAAGTAACTTATTCACAGGAGAGAGATTGTGTACCATATAAGAATAATTTGTCAGGTTAACCACAATGGCTAAATTGTTAAACTGAGGATGAAAGTGGCAAGAAAAGATAAAAACAAGACCAGGACTGTTACATACTGGAAGGTGCTCTGATTCATTTTGGACCAGCGACACTCACCAACATTTTCTTTAGGTCAGAACCTGACCTGAGCCGTGCTTCAAGATCTAACGACGACTCCAGATTATGAAGAGGAAGAGTTTCCGGTTTGAGAACATCAACATCTGTGGTATATCTAAGGCCTCCAGTGCCTTGCAAGTTCAAAGTTCAAAGTGTTTATTTTATCATATGCACAGTTAGGAAATGCGTTTCCCTGTACAATGAAATTCTTACTTTGCCGTCCACATGAATGCCACAAAATACAAATGAAATATAAAGTAGATAAATAACACAAAATCTAAGGTCCTTTAAGCAGCAGCAGCAGCAGATGCAGCAATATAGTAAACGAAATATACAAGAATATAACAGAATGTATGCTGCATGGGAGCAGCATGTGCAGCAGAGTCGTTGTGCAATTATGCATATAACACAAAATCTAGGACACTTAAAGCAGCAACAAATGCAGCAATACAATAAAAGAATATAATA